GGAGGAGGAGGAGGGGAGGAGGGGGAGGAAGAGGAGGAGGAGAAACTAGTCCAGTGACCTCAGGGGTCCCGGGGCTGGGTGTGGTCTGGAGGCTCTGGGCCCCTACCCGGCTGCGGAGGGGAAAATCAGGACTCAGACGACACCTTGTAAGAGCTGGTGTCCCCCCACCCTGTCCCTGGTGACATCTCTTCTTCTTCCAGGGCTCCACTATCCCCATCAACCAGGCCAGGCCCAACCGGAACCTGACCTTGACCAAGAAGGAGCCTGTCGGGTGAGTCCCTGCCCTGGGCGAGAGGTGACCGCGCTGCCCCTGCTCGGGCACTGCTCAGGTGGCCCGCGGGGCAGCCTGCCGACAGCTCGCATACTGCTGTCCCGTCCTGTCCGACCACGCGGTGCAGGGACAGCGCCGTAGCAGGCCGCGGGCATTCCCTGAGGTCCTGGTGGCCAACGGGGTTCCCTCCAAAAAGTCCATCTACAAAGGGTGCGATGGGATCCTTGTGCGTGCAAATTAGAAAGTTCTGGAAAAACAGCTGCATAGGGGACAAACAGAGACCCCAAGCCACAGCCCCAGGGCCACCTCCTCCCCACACCCACCTGCCTCCAGGGACCACCAGGGGACCCCCCAGGGATCCATGCACTGCTGGGGCTCAGGCCTCACACCCCGTCAGTCCTCCTCTGGACCTTCCTGTGTCACCTCCCACGGGGTCTCTGGGGACACTCACAGCCAGACCCCCTTCCCCTGCTGACCCACGTGCCAGTCATCCCTGCAAGCAGCCCCAGAGACAAACTCGGAAGTGCACTTCACCAGTTTTCTAAGCATCTCCCAGCCCAGTCGAGTTGACAACCAAGGTTTGTCATCACGGTCGTCCGAGGACAGGAGGTGACATCGAAATCGGCCTGGGTATAGCTGACCTTGGAAACCCAAATGAAAACTGGCCATGCAGTACCTCATGTGAACACCAGAGGGCTCCAAAGCCACGGTGGACAGAAGGGCGAGTTGGCCATCAGTCAGTCCAACGCGGCAGTGACCACTCAGGACGCCTTTCAGTCGTGGTGAATGACCCACGTACAGAAGGGGCTTCATTTAAGGGGCCGCGCACTGGCCTTGACATCCAGCAGAGCCAGAGGGTTTCTTTTTACTGCACAATTCCAGTACCAGGGGTGTGAACCTTTTCCCTGAATGGCAGGTATGAGTCTGCTCACGCTGCTGTAACAAACTGCCACGGACGAGGTGACTTCATCGACAGCTGCTGGCTCACAGTTCTGGCAGCAGGACGTCTGTGATCAAGGCGTCTGCAAGGCTGGCTCCTTCTGAGGCCTGGGAGGGAGCATCTGTCCTGGGCCTCTCCTGACTTATGTGTTGGCCCGTTCTCCGTTACTGTGACAAAATACCTGAGATAATCCACTGGATAAGGGAGAAGACTGACTCTGGCTCACGGTTGCGGAAGGATCAGTCCATGGCTGCTTGGTCCTTTGCCTTGGGCCAGTGGCAGCGGTCTAGCATGGCGGGAGCTTACAGCAGAAGAGGCCTGTCCATGGCAACCTGGAAGAAAGGAAGAGAGAGAGAAAGGAACTGGGCTCCCAAGTCCCCTTGAAGCCAGTAGGAGGGCTCCCACAGGGTCCAGCACCCCCAGGCTGCACCACAGGCTGGGAGCCCAGCCTTTGACACACAGCTGTGTCCTTGCCCACATGGACTCCCCCGAGTGCCTCAATAAGGAGGCCAGCGTCTTTGCAATATGGGCCTCCTCTAAATCATCCTGAGGTTCTGGAGATGAAGACAGACTTCGACTTGTGAATTCGAGGGGACATAATCCCCTTTCTAACTGGGGGACTCTTCTGACTGGCTCTCTTCTTTCAAGACCCCCCCCCCTCCAATAAGCCTTTTTTAAAAATATTTTCTTTAGAGGCAGGGTCTCACCAATTTGCTCAGGGCCTCGTTAAGTGGCAGAGGCTGGCCTCTAACTTGCGATCCTCCTGCCTCAGCCTCCTGAGTTGCTGGGAGGACAGGCGTGGGCCACCACGCCCACCTGGCTAGACTTCTTGGCTTTTTATTCTCACCTGTATGTGGCCACGGTCTCCTCCCCCATTGTCTGTGTCCCTGGACTGCTCTCATCAGAATCTGATCAGGGTCCCCTACCATGGTGGGCAGTAGGAGGAAGGACTGCCGCCGTGGTCACTCACGGTACTGAATCCAGGTGAGAAAAGGCAGGTGTGACTGTCTGCAGGACTCTCCGTGCCTTTGGGGGCAGCCTGGCTTTGACAGTGGAGGTCAGGCCCTGGGAGGGGGGGAGGGGGTCAGCAGGTCCCCTCTGGGCTGAGACAAGAGAGAAAGGCCCAATTCTCTGGTGCGGCAGGGTCTGCGGTATCATCATCCCCTGGAACTACCCCCTGATGATGCTGTCCTGGAAGACAGCTGCCTGCCTGGCCGCTGGGAACACGGTGGTCATCAAGCCTGCCCAGGTGAGCTGCTCAGGCCCTTGCTAAACCGTTGAGGCTGGCCTCTGACTCGCGATCCTCCTGCCTCAGCCTCCCCCAGCCTCTGGGATGACACCACGGCTCCCGGCTTGACCAGGAATTTGCAGAAACAGAAGAGGAACAATTTGTGGGGAGGGGGGGGGTTCAGAGGGCTGGAAAACTGCTTCCATTTTGATTTCCACAATTTCCACACCTGGGGCCGTAGTCAGAGTTACCCAGAAGCTCAGAAGGCAGGGGCTGGTGGGACTTCCGTGGGCAGCGGTCACCTCCCCGGACAGCCCCGACTCCACCCTAAAGTTGGCAGTTCTCAGAGGAGGAGGCTGAGGGACCGGGGTCGGAGCATTCTGGAAGGCAAGCCGGAGGCTTCTGGGGATGGGGACGGTCGGACTCCTGAGGGGCTTCGTATCGACAGAGAAGAAAGGAATACAGCACTGGACAGTCCAGGCCTGGCCAAGTGGCCACAGCCCCGCCAGGATGAGCCAGGATGCCAGAGGTTGGCAGGCCCCTGTTCCCACCTGAGATGTAAGGAAAGCCGTCTGGATTGGCCATGCCCCTGTGGTTGACCACGAATGTGGCTTCCCCGGGATCTTCCTGGCGCCCCAATCCACAGCGTCCCCTGCTTGCAACTGGAACCGCTGGGAGACAGAGACAGAGAGGGAAGGTTAACCCCAGGGGCTCAGGAGGCCGAGGCAGGAGGATCACAAGTTGGAGGCCAGCCTCAGCAACTCAGCGAGACCCCGTCTCTAAATAAAATACAAAAAGGGCTGGGGACAGGGCTCGGTGGTTAAGCACCCCTGGGTTCCATCCCTGGTACTATTAAAAAAAAAAAAAAAGTCCTCTTGACGGAGTCTTCTTCCCTGTCCCCTGCAGGTGACCCCGCTCACAGCCTTGAAGTTTGCGGAGCTGACATTGAAGGCCGGCATTCCCAAGGGCGTGATCAACATCCTCCCCGGATCTGGTGAGGGCTTCAGACAGGGGCAGGGCGGGGACTCCAGGCGCCCAGAGCAGGGTCGACTGGATAATGTGTCCTTCGAGGGCAGAGTGGCCTGGGGGACGCCGTGCAGAGCTCAGCCAGAGGGTGGGAGGACCGTTCTGGGGGGAGCGACCTGCACCCGGGAGGACTTCCATTCTCAGACACCTTCACGTCCCGGGCCCAGCTTCGGCCGGGCTGTTTGTTTTCGGATTAAGGTTGACGAGTCCTTTGTCCTTCCTGGGGACCCGTCCTCTGTCCGATAAATCTTTTCAAATATTTTGTCCCCCCCAGACTACACATGAACGAGGGCGGAGAGGTGGGATGGAACTCGTACCAAAGTCCTTTGTAGGACTTTGACTTGCTCTAGGCGGGAGTGGGTGAGGGTCGTCTCCGTCCACACCTGCCCACCCGCGATCTTTGAGGGTCCAGAAGGAGGGGTCGGGTCACCCGAGGAGCCCAGAGTGACGTCCCCCTCCACGTGGAGAGCCGTGGACGTGGATCACGGGTCCTCGGATTGCCTGGTGGCTGCGTGGCTCTGGGAACTCCCTGGGCAAAGGTGCAGGTCTAGATTGCCCCGTTGCTATGGTGACACCCGCCCCAGACAGGCTCCAGGCAGAGGTGCAGAGCTGTGTCAGTGTGGGCCCTCAGCTCAGGCACCAGCTCCCGGGGATGGAGGATTCCGAGCCTCACAAGATGGCCCTCGTGTCTCGCCAGTTCTGCGTCCTTCAGATGGCCGCTTTGAAGGAACTTTCCCACAAATAGCCTTTGGCAAAACCTCTGTGACCAGAGCTGGCCCTGGTCACAGCTCCTCCGTCAGGGGGCGATGTCCCACCTGGCCCCAACTTTTTCTCTCTCTGTGTGTCTGTTTGTCTCTTCTCAATCCCCTCACGGCCTCTCATCGCTGGTGCCCGAACAGGGACATGAAGAGGTCCGTGGCACGCCCCCGCTTAACTGGGCCGCCAGGAGAGGCTGTCCACCTACCGGGGGGGCAGGGAGCAGGGTCAGGGATGATTGACAGCTCAAGTTCAAACGTCAGATCCCAGAGGGTCTCAGATATCCAGGCCCAGGAGCCGAGCAGGCAGAGGGGGACGAGGGACTCCGGATTCCAGAGGAGCTCGGCCACAGATACAGACGGAGGGGATGACTTATCCGGAGATGGCGTTCGAAGGCCTGGCGGAGTCACAGAGGCGGCTGTGACCCGCAGGACAGAGCCAGGGCGCTGGACAGGCCAAGATGATGGACGAGGGGCAGTCAGAGAGGTCGAGCAGAACTGGAGGGCACAGATGGATGGGGAGGAAGGGTTGGAAGCCGCGTCGGGAAAGGGCTTCAAGAGGAGTCTTGGCTGAGTTTGGAAGACGGCAGCCTCAGGAAAGTTCATCTTGGAGTCTCACTACCGCCGCACGGTACAGAGGGACTGGCCAGCTGTTATTTAGACACAGGGTCTTCCTGAATTGCTCAGGGCCTCGCTGTTGCTGAGGCTGGCCTCCAACTTGCGATGCTGAGGCTGGCCTCCAACTTGCGATCCTCCTGCCTCGGCCTCCTGAGCCACTGTGGGCAGCTGTGTGCTGGGTTCAGCATGGAACTGGGAAGCTGAGGGGCATGTGGCTGCTGTGTCCTCACAGGCTGTCCCTCTGTGGACGTCTGTGTCCCAATCCCCTTTGCTCTGAAGGACACCAATCCCATTGGGATGGGGCCCACCCTCGTGACCTCATTTACTCCTTGGAAGCCCCCCCCCCGTCTCCACAGAGAGTCACCTTCAGACGTGCTGAGGTTGGGACTTCAGATTCTGGGCCCCGGGGGACACAGTTGAGCCCACAGCAGGGAGCAGGGGTGTGCCCCTGCTGCCTGGGGCTGGACTTTTCCCGGCACCATGGGGTCCACTCTGACCCTCCTGCTCACCCGGTGCCCACAGGCTCGCTGGTTGGCCAGAGGCTCGCAGACCATCCCGACGTGAGGAAAATCGGATTCACGGGCTCCACGGAGGTGGGGAAGCACATCATGAAGAGGTAAGGGTTGGGCTGGGTCGAGGGGCGGCCCCAGCGGCCACGGCACCCGGGTGTAGCCGGTGCTGTTGTGTGAGCTGGGCGCAACTTTTACCATAATAATTCCCTTTTTTACAAAAAAAAAAAATTGTTCTCTGTAAGTGTCCCTGACAGTTGCGTGCATTTTGACACGTCCCACCTACACGGGGTGCGACATCCCGTTCCTGTGGCTGGACCTGCTGCGGGGTGTCCCTGGTCGTGGGTTTCTATGTGAACGTGGGAAAGTGACGTCCATTCATTCCCCTGTCTCTCCCAGTCCTCTCCCCTCCCTTCCCTCCACTCCCCTGCGTCTCATCCAATGCACTTCTGTTCTCCCCTCTCCCTATTGTGGGTCAGCATCCACGCATCAGAGAGGACATTCGGCCTTTGGTTTTGGGGGGTTGGCTTATTTCACTTAGCGTGATCGTCTCCAGCTCTGTCCGTTGACACTCTTCATCACTCTTCTTCATGACTGAGTAGTATTCCATTGCATACACATACCGCATTTTCTTTTTCCGTTCATCTGTTGAAGGGCATCCAGGTGCTGCTTTTTGAGCTTCATGGTGCACATCCAACCCCAGTGGCCATGTTTAATGCCAATGCTGGTCCAGCGGGTCTGTCCCCGTCCAGCCCTTGGGCAGCAGCCCGGGACCTGGGCCCTGCTGAGCACTCTGCCTGCGGCCTCTGGCTCCTTACCCCGTTTTTGGTCTCTGCTTTAGGGGGTCCCAGGAGAACTCCAGGGTGGTCTGGCTACTCTGTGACAATTCCCCAGGGAGAAGGGCCACTCTTGGGTCACAGAAGGGTCCCCTCACCGTCCCTCTCTGATCAGAATGACTTTCTTTCTCTTTGGGACGTGTCCCCCGCAGGCTGGTCCCGGGCAGCCTGTTTGTCTCCCAGAGGGGATGGCGTCCAGCTGCAGCAGGACACAGTGACTGCCCCTGACCTCCCCATCCCCCTGCCTTCGGCTCAGTGGCTGATGAGTCAGGTTCCCGGGGTCAGGAGAGGCCGGCACCGGGGCCATGAGCACGGCACGGCGATAGGTGTCTGGTCAGCTCTGCAGCGGGCCTGTCCAGTGTGGCCAGCAACAGAAGGCACAGGAGGGACAGCAGGTCGTTGACCTCCCGACTCACAAGCCAGCCTCTGATGTGAGGACGTCAAGGTCAAATCCCAGTGCACACATTTCAAGTGCAGAGAGAAGGCTCGGGAAAGGTCCGCTCTTGGAACCTTCCGGAAGGAGGTTTCTTTTTTGGTACCAGGGATTGAACCCAGGGGTACTTGACCCCTCAGCCCCGTCCACAGCCCTGTTCTGTATGTTATTTAGACACAGGGTCTTCCTGAATTGCTCAGGGCCTCGCTGTTGCTGAGGCTGGCCTCCAACTTGCGATCCTCCTGCCTCAGCCTCCTGAGCCGTTGGGATGACAGGTTATACACTGCACCTGGCTTGGAGGAGGGTTTTGGCGGCAAGAGTTCAGAGAGGCCGCTTTCTGCTCTGACTGTGCGTGGCTCTGCGGCTGTATTCCCAGGGCCCCCTTCCTGGTGGGCCCTGAGTGCAGAGACCCCTCCTCTCCAGGGCAGGCCTGGTCCAGTTCACTGAATGCGCACCGGACAGCAGCGCCTTTGAGTTGGTGCCCAGCTTCTCTGGGTACCAGCCCTAAACAGCTGAGATGCCAAAGTCCCCGTGGCCTCTGCAGTCCTGCCACCTGGGGGATGATTCTGTGTCTTATTTATTCGTTCAGCATTTATGGAGCAGCAGCTGTATGCAAGGCAGAGTGCCTATTAGGAACCTTGTGCTCCGGCAGACGGGATAAGTCTGAACGGAAAGAAACAACCCAGTGGGTACCGGGCAGAACAATGAGCAGGCGCTTCACAGAGGAAGAAATACGACCGGCCAGCAGACGTATGGAAAGGTGTCCCACATCTCCCGCCACCGGAGAAGTGCCAATCAGAACTGCACTGAGATCCACCTCACTCCTGCCAGGGTGGCGACTGTCAAGAATACAAGGGACAATAAGTGTGGGCGAGGATGTGGCCGGGGGGCTGCACGTTGGTGAACCCCTCTGGAGAGCAGGATGGAGATTCCTCAGAAAACCTGGAATGGAACCACCATCGGATCCAGCTATCCCACTCCTCTGTCTGTACCCAAAGGACTTAAAAGCAGCACGCTACAGGGACACAGCCACGTCAGTGTTTGTAGCAGCTCAGTTCACAGCCGCTGAGCTACGGAACCAACCTTGACGCCCTTCGACAGACGAACGGAAAAAGAAAAGCGAGTTACGTATACACCGTGGAATATTACACAGCCATAAAGAAGAATGAGGTGACGGCACTTTGCTGGTGGCCGGGTGGATCTGGAGGCTGTCGCGCTAAGTGAAATAAGCCTGTCCCCAGACGTCAAAGGCTGAATGTTCTGACATGCGGATGCCGACGCACCATAAGGGGTGGGGGCTGGGGAAGGATGGAGGTCCTTTGGATCCGGCAGAGGAGAGGGAGGGGAGGGGAGGGGAGGGAAGGGCAGAAGAATGAATCGGGCATCACTACCCTAAGTGCATGTCTGGTCACACAAGTGGTGTGAGCTGACATCGCGTACGACCAGAGGACGCGAAGCCACACCCCGTCTGTGTACGACGTGCCAAAATGCATCCTGCCGTCACGGATGACCCCTGGGAGCAAATTTTTTTTAAGTTAATCAATCCGGAAGGTGGGGGGGACGGCGAGGGCAAAGGCCCTGTGGCTGAGCGCTCGGGTTTTGGGGACAGGAAGGTGGGGGCGTGGGGCGCGGGGCAGGCGAGGGCCAGGTTTCTGGAGCCCAGCGGGCACGGCCTGCCCTGTCCCCTCGGCTGGCCCGGGGCCTGGTGTTCCTGGGCGCCGGCCCCAGTGCCCTGTCGCTTCCAGTTGCGCCCTAAGTAACGTGAAGAAGGTGTCCCTGGAGCTGGGCGGGAAGTCGCCGCTCATCGTGTTCGCCGACTGCGACCTCAGCAAGGCCGTGCAGATGGTGAGGGCTGGGCTAGGCGGGGACCATGGGGGGACAGGGAGGGGACACGGGCAGGGGCCACCTGGGGACCCCCAGGGAGCCATGCACTGCCAGGTTCAGGCCTCACACCCCTCACTCCTCCTCTGGACCTTCCTGTGTCACCTCCCACGGGGGCTCTGGGGACATGTCACAGCCACAGCAGGATAGCCAGTCACTTGCCCTGGTGACCTGTCAGTCCTAGAATCTCAGCCCCTGTCCCAGGCCCGTGCTGCAGTGGCCTGCAGGGTCCCCAGGCCTGTGCTCCGCGCGGCTGGCCTCACAGGGAGCTGGACTCCGCTGGCCTCCCCACCCGGCCTCCTGCAGAGGGCGCTGCTGCTTTCCCAGGGCAGACGGGTGGTGGCCTCCGAGGGCCTCTGTCCTAACCTGCCGCAGGAGACCCCTCCTGCCTGGAGCAAGACAGGAAACTGAACAGCATGGAGCTGTCGGGCTGTGGCTGTGACACACGGCAGGTCCCCTTAGGGACACTTCACCCCAGAGGCCAGCAGCGGCTGACAGATCAGCACAGGAGCAGGAGGACAGGGCAGGGGGGGACAAAGTAGCGGGGCCAGAACCACCTGTGGGTCAGAGCAGCAAAAGTCCCTAAGCCGCAGGCGCCCAGAGTCCCCAAGTTGTTGACGGGCTTGTCCCCACGTAGGAACACAGGAAGTCCTTCTAGGACACAGCCGCCCACTTCTGGCTGCCATGGACCCCAACGTGCTCCTGGGAGTGGACACCCGGCTGCGCTCGGGGCTCGGGCTTTGGGGTCCTCCCCTGGGCTGTGCACCTCTAATAGTGTCACCTGCCACCTCGGGGTGCTGGCCTCCTTTCCTGCCCTCGCAAGGCAGACTCCCCCTGTCCCCCTAACCAGGCCTGGCCCCAGGAGGAGAGCGTGACCCAGGCACACGTCCCCTTGGCAGGGGCTGGGGACAGGAGCCCGGGGGGTGGCTGTAACCGCCGTCCTCTCCGCAGGGCATGAGCTCCGTCTTCTTCAACAAGGGGGAGAACTGCATCGCGGCTGGGAGGCTGTTCGTGGAGGACTCGATCCACGACCAGTTCGTGAGGAGGGTGGTGAGTGCTGGCCCAGGGTCTCGGGCTGCTGGGTCGCGGGGCCCCGGGGGGCTGAGAGGCGGGGAGGCCGGGACAGGCTCCTGTCACAGATCGCCATCCACCTGGGTCAGGGGACCTGTCAGGCAGGAGCCGTGGGCCTCCACAGGTTTTTACTGGTTCAGCAAGAAACGGTCCCCAGACTGGAAATGATGTGACCCAAACAGGCCTGTGGGCTGGGGGTGTCCTCAGGGGTAGGTGAAGGCCCTTGGTTCCATCCCTCCTAACACCAAAAAGAAAGAAAAAAAAAATAGTCGCCGGGCGTAATGGCCCACACCTTCATCCCAGCACCTCGGGAGGCTGAGACAGGAGGATCGCAAGTTGGAGGCCAGCCTCAACCACTTAGCGAGACACTGAGTTGGGGACTGGGGACGGTCCTCCTCCTCAGAGCAAAGCCTGATGTGACTTGAGAACTCTCCGCAGGTGGAGGAGGTGGGGAAGATGAAGATCGGCAACCCCCTGGACAGGGACACGGACCACGGGCCACAGAACCACCAGGCGCACCTCAACAAGCTGCGGGAGTACTGTCAGCGAGGTGTGAGGGAAGGGGCCACGCTGGCCTGTGGCGGGAACCAGGTCCCTAGGCCAGGTGGGTCAGCGCTCCCGGGGCCACCAAGGCAGCGGGT